GCTTAGTTAAACAGTTGTTCGCTCTAATTTGATTCAGCCTTGATAAAAGGCTGACCGTCGAAAGAGCAATTTGTCTCAAAGACAATCACCGGTTGTTCTGGCTAGTTTGCACCAATGTATCATTCAAGTTTGTACCGAAAAACAAACACTGTTAAGAATGCGTTTTATAGCAGAATTTGATTTTGTTTATGGATTACGACACTAACCGTTTGAATTACCGGATATACGAATAAAATTTTATGGTTTGAAAAAATTTAACTTGCTCAAAGGAGACTGAGCGCACATTTTGGCGCCCAACATAATTCAGAAAAATTTGCCAAATTTGCAGAAAAATTTGGTAGATATCAATAAGGATCACAGTCCATTTTATTCTTTTAAGATGGAAGTCAATGAATTATATACGATTTAATTTCACCAAAAAACAATTAAATTTGGTGAAATATAATAGATTATCATCGATTGCGTGGTCCCAAATTGTAATTATAATCGATTGTAATGGCCAAACTTCTGACCACGATTATAATTGAATGTTATCCACGGAACCTCACTGTGGGAGATGACTTTCGCGAAAAAAAATCGAGTTGGAAAATGCTAGTCATAGAAATTTTGTTTATGAAAATTGTATGGCAATCAATTTTTTTCATAGACTCCATATATTAAAATGTATGATAGATATTTTTCTTGTTTGGACGTCAACACGGGTTCTCATGTAACTTACATATGGCTTTTCGTTACTTAACTGTTCCGTACATAATCTTGATGCTTCAAACTTCCGCCATTTGCAACCCGTACCTACTCAACAAAAGCTTGAAATCTGGATTAAATTTTTATATAGATAATCTAACCTAATTTTTTGTGTTTTCTGTATAGAATTTTTTTTATCATCCAACATTAGATATAAACAAGTTCTGGAAATAAAAACCATAAACAGTTCAATGATCAACCAAAGCGAGCCAAACATGCTTCGAGTATGCATATTAGCCGTGGCAAAACAATGTGACTTAACAAGTGCTATAACAATTATAACAATATGTTATTGGATTGTTAAAACTGTTCGTTGGTTTAAGATCATGTGGCCTTGCGGATAGTACAACCGTCTAGCCAACGTTATGTTGGGATTTTAGTCTAACCAGCTGATTTTTTCAAGCTAGATTTAACGTAGGTTAGCTAATTTCCGATTAAAATTAGATAAAAAATACAAAAAGCTGTACATTACGAAGCCAAATTGAGAACTAGATAGGCGCACAATTTTGTGTCTGTATGTTCTTGGATTCCAGAGACAAGTCTTCAAACATGTTGTGGTTTTGTCTGAACGATCAAAAAAATTGAAAGAAAAAAAGAAGAGCAAAGGGAGCATCTTGTAGCAGGCTCCGCTTATAATTCACAAAATACACATTTTGACCTCGTAATATAAGAAAGTCCTTGCTTTATTTAAACATTTCAAGAATTTTTGGCCGAATATTTAGATTACAAATTAATTATTTCTCGTTAGAATTAAAAACAATTTTCGGTACTGGATGTAATCTAAGGCAAAATTTCAAGCTTGTTAACTTAGTGAATTTTAGTTAATAGGACAGATTCAATTCTTTTTCATCAATTTCTGAAATAAAAAAAAACAGATCGATTGATACTTGAAAATTCAAAATTCATCTATCGCTTTCAATGTTAGTCATGAAAAATTCCCATGTCCGCAAAGGAAACATTGAACTGATAGAGTTGTTTTGCCTTTTTTCCTCCTTCACAAGGTTAATTGAGCAATTCTAGAGTTTGTAGGTTATGTCTTCAGCATATAGTATGTTTGCCATTGTACAAAAAATGAATTATGATGGTTGAACCGATTGGGCGGAAGAAAAAATAACCACTCTGCACTGCCCACATTTACAACCACACCCACCGACACGCACAATTAGCGAAGACATTTCGTTGACATTTTGACAAACATATTTCGTTTAGCAATCACAATTTGTTGAGATTTGTTGTTATTTCAATCCATTCTAATCGACTTTCTTTCACTTTAATTAGGAAATGCGGGTATAAAACACTCAATTAGCAGATTAATTGAAAAATGTCATGAATATTATTGGCAGCGCTTAAGTGCAATTTGTGCTTCGGCCAATTTTTTTTACCGCTCATCGACTTATACCCATTAAATGATGTAGCTGCGTACTGACGCAATCCGAGTTGACCAAAAATGTTTATCATACAGTTTTATACAATTAGAATGCTGATCATGCAATTCTTCCACACACGAGAGTTTAAAAAAATTATCATAGAACTTCAATATAAGAAAAGTTTGCGATAAATGATTTTCACAAGGCGGCAAAAAAGTTTTAAAATAAAGTCGGAAAATCACTTTTATGCTCAAATTAGCTTTTTTCAAAAAAAATTTTTTTTGTTAAAATTTTGTTACTTTTGTCTATAATGTACGCTGCTCTGATTTTTTTATGACTATGAGTATAAACACCCTAATTTTTTTTATTTTTTATATGGTAAGTTAAACATGATTCTATCAAAGGCAGACCTCAATTCTCAATTACCCATATACAAAAAATAACATATACAAAACATGAAATTTAATTTCAGAAATACAATCTACAAACGCCTAGATTTCTTTCTCTTTTACAATTTTCCCCTTAACAAGTGGTTCTTTTTGTTTTAGAAAAACTTATCAAACACGATACATTGCAAAACTCGAAAAAAAAATGTTTCGATCCATGAAAAAAAAGCTAGTCATGCAATTTTCCTTTAAGATTTGGAAATATAATAAGATTTTTCTCGTACGATTTCATAGTTTCTCTAGATTTCATAATTTTTCTCTTTCAAAGATTTTTTCACAGAACTGCATTTTGTGCTGAACTGAAAACTACGAGAGAGAAAGAAACATTTTCTTGTTGAATCAACTTGTGCAGCTATGAAACTGATTGTGGGTGGAACAAGTGTACAGTTTTACTAAGAACAAAAAAAAAACATTTTATCAGTCACCAATTATACTAGAATTTAACTAACTGACCTTAGCAGTTGAAGTTTTTTGGAATATATCTCTCGACACGAGGAAAAAGGAGAGCAGAATTGTTCTAAAATTTGAAAAAAAAACTATTCAATTGTGAAGTTTTTTCTGCAACCTGATGACATCATCGGAAAATTATTTTTGAACTGATTCATTTTGTGCTTGAAGCACATTTCTCCGTCACTGATGCTCGAATGCAGAACAAAATCGAATGTGGCAATTTTTGCAGTTATATAACTGATTGTGGGTGGAACAAATGCATATTTTTATTAAAATTGAGAATTCAAAAAAACTTTTTATCAGTCACGGAACATACTAATACTTACTAACTAACCTTATCAATTAAATTTTCATGGAAAAATTTTCTCCACACGAGGAAAAGGGAGAGCAACATTATTCTAAACTTTTTTTACCCCTTTGGAGTTTTTTTCTGCAACCTGACAACAATGTCGGAAAATTATGTTTGAACCTGATCAATTTGTACTTGATGCATGTTTCTCTCTCATTGATGCCAGAATTCAGAACAAAATCGAAGGTGTCAATTTCGCACAATCTAAAAGTTTTTCGTTGTCTCCGTGCTGTGTGAGAGTAACTCGGTAAAGCATTAAGCCAACTAATGAGTTAGTTCAGTACAAAGTTCATTCTTGTAATACTCGATGTTATTAAAACCAAACCTAAATAAAAATTCAAAAAGCTTAACTATGTGTATCATCAAAGTTTGCCTCCTCTTTGCTGCTTTTTGAAAGAGAAACGGAAAAAAGATTTGCTCCCTGCTGTTCTGTAAACATCAGTTTTTCAAAAGAGTCAAACCAATTTTTTCTAACCGACTAATTGTTCAATTTTTGCAGTGTTCACAACGTAGCAGGTACTTCACGCCATTTTTGGAGTAGGTTGCACTTAAATCACTATTGTCATTAGCATGCAGCTCCTGTTTCATGTTTCTTCGTTTTGTTTTCAAATTTTTGACCTGAAAAACTGATGGATTATTTGCTCAAAAGATTTACTTTTTAAAAATTTGGTTGAGGATAAAAAAATAGTTTTAGTCTGTGCTGTGTTGTGCAAGTAGCACAAAATATTCCAACCAAAATAAGGTATAAAAATGTAAAACGACAAAAAAGTAATAAAAGAACAAGTAATTATGTTCAAGTAAAAATGTTATTTTTTTGCAAATAATTAGGTTCAAAAATTTTTTTTATTCTAGAGCAAGAAAAAAAAACAAAATGCTAGAAAAATTGTTAATTGGAATTAAATTAAAATTACAATAAGGAGGTTAGTCTCCCAACAATTTTATTGTAGTTTAGTCTGGAAAGCTATTTAAAAAATCAAATTTGTTTTTCTCAGATTAAGATTATGACCATTTATCCACGGGGGAAAGGTTCAACACAAACACAAGAGCTGTACACCTCATCACGGCGGGCAGCTTTTGTGCCCCTGTTTTAGAACTACATGCAATAGAAAGCCGGAGACGTAACCAGCTCACCACCGCTCCCCAAACTCTGAGAGAATTCTTTTGAAGCTTTTTAGAATCCAAAATGACTATCAAAAGAACTTCGATTTGATACCCTACTTGGCACCGTTCAATTCTTCAGTGAGGTAATCAAAATTGAAAACTGACAGAAAAAAACAGACCCTAATCCAAAATTCTTTTCCATTGTTCGAGTGAACGGAACAAAAATACAAAATAGCCTAAGATACCAATAACAATTGCCTGACACAATAAATTTTTCACGAATCTCAAGTTCAAAAAACTGTTTCTTCAGTTTTCATAAAGTTCAGAAAGATAAAAATTGAAAATTTCAAAGGCATAAATTTTTCGGGCAAGATTGTTTTCTGCTAACAGAAAAAAAATCCATGGTTTAGTGAGATTTTGTGTTTTTTTTGTTAACGAAAATAAACTGAGTTTAAATACGTAATTTGAGAAACATTTAGATAACAAGTGCACAAATATAAACTTTTACGCTTGATTTAACTGTTTTGAGAAGCAAAAAGTCAGTCTTTTAACTAACTCAAGTCTCATATCAGCTTTCATATCGTGTTTTTCACTGACTCTGCATCGAACGCTTACAATAAACTTTATAGTTTATTTATAATATCACCTGGTGATAAATATTGATTTGTTTTTGTATTTCTTGAACAATGTGTGAAATTGGAGTTTTCGATCTGATCAAACATTGTCATCCATCGACCATTCATTTTCTGCTAAGGAGACCAGATAGCAATTTCGACATTGGGGTCAGGAATAGTTTTGGTCAGAATGCACTGATAGTGGCGGCTACCAGAAAGGGGTCAGTGGCCGAGAAGATCATCGAACACTTACTTGGTGAGCAAAGAAGCTTCAAAAACTGAATTATCTGGGAGTTTTGAGGAATACTCGGAGCCAGGGGCGGGTCTAGTATTTTCTCGAGGATATATTCGGAAATTTTGTCGACTTTTTTCAGTTCGACCAAATTGATGTTCCGAGCTCTCCCAGAGCAATAAAGAGACCGTTTTGGCCTAGTTTTCAGCGCCTCAAGCAAGATTTTGAGAGAATAGGCCAAAAAGGGGTTTTTAGGCACTTTTTCGAAAACTGTGACCAAAAAAATTGCTTCTCCCTCAAAACTAGTCAACTTAGGCGCGAAGGTGCCTTAAGAAAGTCCGTCAGCCAAAGATTGATGTCTCAAATTAGTACAAAGGGGCCCTTTGGGTCGGCAGGTGGACAAATCCCAGAGAGAAGGAACGTCCTTCCCCTCCCCTTCCCCTAAATCCGCTGGTGCTCGGATCTGTATTGTTTCTTCTAAACTGAAAAATGGGAAGCAGAAATGAAAAGTTTTGTTTTTGTTTGCGACTAAAGAAAACAATTGAAGGCGACGCTCCGCTTCAAAAATCATGGGTTGTTGGAGCTTCAAAGCTCATTGTTATCTGCGCGCCTCGATTAAGGTTATATCGTAATAAGGTTCCAGAAAAACTGTCATTAAATTGTTTAAGACCAATTTACCTTTTTTCCCAGGGGCGGATCTGAGATTTTCTCGAGGGCGGCTGATTTAAAAAAAATCAAAAGTTTTGTAGAATTTTTTCATATCGGCCAAACAGATTTTCCGAGCTCTTTTGAAATAAAAAACATTTTTCTGAATACAAACCAAAAAACGCTTTTGAAGGTTTTTTGGATAGCTGAAAATTTGATTTATAAATTGTGCTTTTTCGGCGCACGTTTCACCCTCAAATTTTCTATATACTGGCCCCAAAAGCGCCCTTAGAAAAATTTAGGGTCGGTCATCCTGAGAGTCGAATCCCCCAGGGTCGAATACCCCACCCCCTGAATTCGCCCCTGCTTTTACCCAGTGGCGGGATTCGACACCCTGACCGCCTCTAGGGACCCCTTTGATACAGTCTTTAGACATCCATTTTTGGATGACCGGTTCTAAAATTTTGTAAAAGGTACCCTCCGTGCCAGTAAATACTAATTTTGAGGTGGAACCGCGCTTCGAAAAAAAGCGATTTTTTGGCCAGCATCTTTGAGAAAGTACTGAAAAAAACTCTTTCTAGGCCTGTTTATCAATCAATTGCCTGCGAATAGGATAATTTGGTTAAAATGGGTTCTTGAGAGTGAATTAGCAGAGCTCGGAAAACCATTTTGGACGACCTAGAAAAAAAAACAATTTTGTTTGGCCTGAAATTTTTAAACCCAACCTCCCCCCTCCAAAAACAACCCCTCTTCGATAGAATCTTAGATCTGTCCTTGATTTTTTCTGTTTGCATTAACTTGCCTTCAAAACTAGAAGACTCTTTGCTTTCAGATTTTGGGTGCGACTACACACAACGAGATATTTTTGGTCGTGACCTCCTGTTCTACAGTGTCATATTTGGACTGGACGCTTTAGCCTGTCAGTTGATATCTTCTGGGGAGTTTGACCTATTCCATCGGGATAAAGAAGGTCAATGGCAAAGTTCAAGCTGGAACGTAGAGAAAAAATATCAGCAAATAACATAGACATTTTTAATTAGCCTGCTGTGTTTTAACAATGGACAACAGCAAATTATCATGAGCCTTTTAAACGAATAGGATCTAACTTAGATCATATCTTATGAAAAAAAAACATTTTTATCAACCAAATCTACAAGACATGGATATGATATACAGTTTGGATATGAAAAAAAAACTTTAGAAATTCTCAAAAACCTTGTTCCTTGGTCAAAACATGAAAAATTACAAAACACAAGAAATTGGTCGGCTTCTTTGATTACGCTAACTCTTTTCATTGAAGGTATCAAACTTAAAAATATCTAATTTTTTTGAGCTTGAAACTTGCTTTTGATGAAGGTCGGACTGTTCTGTTTCATGCTGTTTGCAACAACAGCATCAAAATTGTGCGACATCTGTGCTCTCTCATGTCAAGACATAGAATGTTTAAGAGACTGTTGTCAATAACTGACAACTGCGGAAACCATCCGATTGGCCAAGCGTTTTCACTCGGTCATCGAGAATGCTACGAGCTGCTTAGAAAACGCCAAAACGGTGACCAGAAATTTAGTTTTTTCTCTACTTTTGAGAAAGATTAGTTAAGACTTCATAACTTTTTGGAAAAGATATCAAGTCTGATTTCCTGTCAATTTTATTTTGCCGTGAAAGTGCTTCTTTATTCGTAAGTCCGGTTTCAAAATATTTTATCACCTGGTTTTATTCCCCTATCAATATAACACCCTCTTTATATTATTTGTAAGGCCAAAAAACGCTCGTTTTACTTGTGACACCATAGCAAAATGAATGGTATTTTACTTGACTTAAAAGTTCGATTTACTACAAAAAGACCAAAATCTGTGTATTTCCGAAAGGTTATTTTTGCAGACCTTAGCGATGAAAATTTGAAGACGTCAAAATCATCATCGCAGAGTTACTCAATTCAGCTGCCACAAATTATGAAGAAACCAGTTGGAGGATTGAATTTAAGTTCACCCCTAACCAAGCAAGAGGAAACACCCGAGTCAGAGCGAGAGATTTTCGCACGAAAGGGAAGATTTCGTCCAGGGGAGCTTTCTTACTTTAATGGGCCAGATGACGTGAAAAGAAGTTTGAGCTTGCTGCTAAACTTGCAGGTATTTAGGAACACTTAATTGCCATTAATGCAGCTATCTGTTTCTGAGCTGACATTAATAAACTAAAACAACGAAAAATGGTGTCGTAATTTTTCAAAATTAGGATTTTAGGGTTACTTTTCCTTGTTCTGTGAGCTTTTTTGTCCGCTTTGTCTAATTGTTACAAAAATTATTATACCCACTTATTAGGATACGAAAACATACTTGATATCCATACTTAACCGTAAAATCTCTCGTTACGTCATAAAACTGATGCTCTTATGTGTTGTTTTGGGCTATTTTTAGTTATTCTTGTTTCCCATTGGCTAATTGACTATCCTCATTTTCAAAGTTATGCTAAGTTTCGTTTGTTCGGTTTTTTTCCAATTCACTGTTGATGCCAGTGTGTTATACGCAAAAGGCCCTTTTTTCACCTCAATTTGTTGTTTAAGGCACTCAATACATTGCCTATGATTGTGCCTCAAGTGTCTGCCGAGTATAGCGATCCATCAAGGAAATCGAAAGACGATTTCGATGCCTACGAGATCACTTTGAGACGGTTCAAAGAGGAGGAAGTCCGGAGGCGCAAAATGTTGATGAATTCTGGGGAGCTGTCGAAGAGCTACGCCAGCAGCAGACGAGACAGCAGAGCGACAACTTCCCGGTCGACGAGAAGGAAGGTCTCCACCGCGTCTAAGAATTGACTTCAATTGCAAATTGTAGAATAATGTTACTTAAAAATAACGTCTGTTTTCAACATACTTTCATAGTACTTTTTGGTTTGAAAACCGAAGCAGAGGTTGGCCTTGCTTTTTAACATTCACTAAGAAACTTGACGTGTTATAGATCTTCTAGACCCTTAGCTAACTTGAATTAAAGAACCCGCAGCTAATGCGAAGTAAAGAAAATCAAAAAACTATCTCAGAAAGTATATGTTTGAGTAGTATTGTATCGTTTCCGAGAGTTTAAAACGAGAGGGGGGAAAAGGGGGAAGGGGGAAGAAACGTAGCGCAAGTTGGTGTTTAGAAGGTTTGCTTTTAAAATGAACTTCTCTACCCAGCGCAGTCACGAAAAAAATTGTTATATCGAGAATGCTGAAACCTATCTCAAACAAACAGTTTGACGGCTTAAATTATTTTGGGGCTTTAACAAATTTGAATTGTGTTTTATGATTAAAGAATTTTATTTCATTAAAAGAATTAAAAAAGAGTCCATCATTTGAAACTTTATATAACTTTTTTAACCGCAATAATCTTTAAAGTTACAAAAGATAATAGATAAATCGATGAATACAAAAGAGTAGAGTTCTATCATGTCCACTCTAAAGGTCTTCAAGAGGTTTTTAGAGTCAAATGAATAGAGTGCCTAACAAGAATTTGCGCATTTTTGACGAAAAAATTTCTCAATCTTTTAACGACAATTTAAGACAAATCTCAATATTTTACAGACGATTTTGATCTAGGTGTGAACTAAAATGAGTTCTCAATGAATTCCCAATCTTGAATTCTCAACTTTAAAATTTTTTTTTAAAGAATTCAATGATTTCTCAAACTTTTAAAGACGATTCTGACCTGGGTGACAACTAAAAAATTGCTGTATCCTCGAAAAGCTCAAATTCGCCCATCTGAAAGAAGTCGAATAGTTCCAACACAGCGTCGTGCGTTTTCTATCTCAAAGTGGACCGCATGAAGAGAAAATGTAAGACAAACAGAACTCTGTGCTGCTTGAACTGCAACGCATATGTGAACCCAATTCGATTGTATCATAAATAGAGGTGTGAATAGTAATAAAGCCTGTGCTGGGTTGTCATCCGGTACGGATAGATAAACTCATTATCGTTATTATGTATTAATTTGAGTAACATATTTATTTATATATTGTCTGGTCAAATGACCTTGATACGGCTGCATGCCAACTGAAGTCCATGAGCAAGTCTCAGACGATAATTTATTTTTCTGAACAACAGCTGTTTTATTCAAAATCATACAAAGACTACGCATATCGATCCGTTCGGATTCATTCTATTCACGCTCATACTCTGGGGTATGACATGGAGCAGCGAGCAGGATACTCAAAAAACCGTTGAATATCAACCCATTTTGAGAGAAAGCCTCAAGCGAGCCACCACTGGAATGGTCGAAGTGGGCAGCGATATTTGAGATGGCAGTATTTGCCAAAGACGGGATTGAGGTAAGAAATCTTCAGAGAAAAAGACCTCCACTCGTCGAGCCCACAGAACCGATATATGAGGTCGAAATAAAAGGAGAAACAGACGCTCAAAGGAAAAACCGGGAGGTTCGCAATCAAGAGAAGAGAGTTGGTTGGGAAAACCACGTGGTAAAAGCCCGAGAAAAGAGAGTCCTATGTAATTTGTTCCGATGGGATGAAACCGACGCTAAAGTAAGAAGTTACATTTTTCTTTGCCTGGGAGCCGAGGGCCAGCGTCAAATTCAGCAAAAACGTCCGGGTCTTGTACTACACGCGGTGACAACAAGAGAGTTAATTACGACACTAGAAGACATATTCGTAACAACCAGAATTGTCGCGTTCGAAAGATACAACTTTATCTGCAGAAAACAGAAGAAAACGGAAAACCTGGAACAATTTCACGCTGATCTGGTCGAGTTAGCTTCCAGATCCAATTACGGGGACAGAGGCGACGAGTGGGTGCGAGACATGTTTACGGCACACATGAACGTTGAAAAAAAATAGTCGAAGAACTACTCGCACAAACAAGGACCCCACAAGACGCGTATGAGTATGCAATACACAGAGAAAAGGGGATCGAACACAGTCGTACAATGAAAACGAATCCTTTCGGAAACCAAAAAGCAACAACAAAACAAGAACCAATGCACTATATCAACACACGGAAACGAGGTAATTTCACAAACAATCAAGTACCTCAAAGAGGCCGCGGAAATTTTCGAGGACGCCCATATCCTCGAGGTCAACAAAAAGCACGAGGTCAGTTCCAATAACAAAAAAACCATTATTCTAGCACTCAAAAGCAATGCTACAAATGTGGTAACCAATTCGGACAAAACCACTTACAATCAAGTCCCGCAAAGGATAAAATTTGTTCTAAATGAGCAAAACGGGGCAATTGTCGCTAAAGTGTGTCGATCAGGAAATGTTAATTATCTGGGAGACTGTAACAATGAAAAAGAACAAGATGACACTGAATCAGAGAGTCAAGGAACCGAACTGCGTCCAGTCGCGTTTGCTGATTTTACGTCAAAAAATGGTTGGGAGGAGTACCACGTCGATAAATTTTAAGTAATGGCAATATCAGAAGCATTCAAAATAAAGCAGGCAACAAATTTGTCAGTAGAGGATTCAAATGGACACTTCATTAAATTGAAAACAAAAACAGAAGATTTATTTGCCATCGCTGACTCCGGGAGTTCAATGTCGTTTCTAAACGGAAAAACCGCCCGGCGGTTACAAGAAAATGACAACTCCGTGATACTGAAACAAATTCCACCGGAAGACACGGCTCGGAACTTAGCATGTTACAATGGCAAAACCATTGTCCCAGAGGGAAGGCTGATAGTTACGAATCAGGAGGCTGGAAAATAAAAGCTGCCCCATTCATCATTGTAGATAACCAAAAAGCAAACATCATAGGCAGAATCATCCTCCCACAAGTTGGAATAAGATTAATACAGGAAAAATCAAAACAAGGGAACGTACTGAATATAAGTGAACAGGAACAATCAAACCCAGAAATCAAACGATGGGTAAAAGATAACTATCCACAATTACGCATTCGTGTTGGAAAGTCAAAAAGTAACGTAATGCGGACTCAGTTCAATAAAGAATTTATTCCGGTACAACAGAAAGTACGCCGTGTCCCGGTGCACTTACAAGAACGAGTAGAAAAAGAATTCAACGAGCTCTTGGATCAAAAACACATAATAAAACTGGATACTCATTCCGACCGACAATTAATTAGTCCAATCGTGATTACAGTAAGAAAAGACCAGACGGTGAAATTAGCGTTGGACTCAAAGATTATAAACAAATTTATTCATAAGAATAAATACCAAACGCCTAACATCGATCTACTGTTAGACAATGTAGCACAAGTAGTTAAATCAAACGACAATCAACAAACTCTATTCTCAACACTGGATTTGCGCTACGCGTTTTCACAAATCCCGTTAGACAAATCAACTCAGGAGCAATGCAACTTCAGTTTAATCGGAGGCATTGCTACAGGAACATACCAATTTCAAACTGGATTTTACGGCCTCACGGACATGCCGGCCGAACTTCAAAAGGTCATCGATCTCACACTTACAAATTGCTCAAACTTTTACGCATATTTAGATTACATTTTGATTTTGACCAAGCGGTCAATCGTTATACACAAGCAAAAACTACAAACATTTCTGGAAAAATTAGATGGTGAAAATCTCGCCATATTATTGGAGAAATGTAAGTTTGCGTGTAAATAAGTTGAGTGGCTAGGGTACACCATTAATAGCGAGGGCACTACACCTCTAATAAGATAAACAGAGGCAATTGAGAAGCTCTTCCCTCCAAAAACATCCAAACAACTTGAAAATTTTTATGGGGTCTATACACCACCTCACCAGGTATATCCCAAACTTAGCACAAACAGCAGCAGCATTGAGGCCACTATTGAAAAACATCCTGAAAAATAAACCGATTAACTGGAAACCGGAACACAATACATCATTTGAGAACATTATAATATTAGTATCTGAAATAACCCAAAACAAAAATTTTAACCAACATTTAGAAACACGTATAGTAACTGATGCCTCTACATCAGTATTAGGGGTATCACTCGAACAATATTCAGCAAAAGGTTGGGTGGCAATTGCTTATGCTTCAGGATTTTGAGTTCCCTCGAGGAAAAGTACTCAGTCAACGAACTAGAATTACTCGGTATAGTGTTGGCAATTGAACACTACAAATATTATCTGTACGGGAAACATTTCACCGTCATCACAGACCACCAAGCTTTAATCAGCGCTTTAAACGCAAGCGAAAGATCAAAAACCAGTCAAAGTAGATTAACCAGATGGATTGATCGACTAATCCCATTTCATTTTGATATCAAACACTTAGCCAGTAACAAAATGGCGCTAATTGACTATATGTCACGAAATCCGGTTGGATTGGCAATACCGCCAAGCGAGTATGATGAGGAATTTGTTGTTGCATCAATTAATACATTCATAAATAACTTGGAGGTGATTGACAACGTCATTCTTAATGAGTTAGCCAATCAAAATGTTGCACCGTGTCAGCTGACCAAAAAGCGCGCGGAATATAAAAGGACAATAATCACCACTTCAAAACTTGGTTTGAGTCAACATTCTATAAAAAATTCCACAAACGGTCACCTGGAAACACTGAAACTAAATCAGTTCTGCTCAAATCAATCTGCAAATTGGTCAGCTTTGTCGCAAAGGACAAATTCAAGACAAACTTTACCAGATTATTTCAAATTCACAAACAGAAAAACAGTGCATCCCCAAAATGAAGACTACAGTAGCAATACAGACGGACAACAATAAAGTGTTGGTGGGAACCCAAACAGAACAAAGGGAGGAACATCCGGAGACAAACGAAGTGTTCGTGAGTAGAATAAATTCGATATCGCAAGCCAGGAGGAATGCACCCCAAATAAAGAACCGCTAACGATGTCAGGAACACAATCTAAAGCACCACAGCTAGAAGCTAGACACCACGAAATAACAGAAGACATAGTGACAACTGTCAATCAAACAACAATGATGGAAGCAGAGTAGGACACACCGCTGTTCCGACAGCGACTGCAAAAGGTTCTGGGGTCAAATTCACCCCGCAGCTACCAAAAAGGACAGGAACCTCAGACCACTCATGAATTTTGTAAAAAATCGAGATTGGGAAGCAATAAAATCCGCCTACGGACAA